AGAGGGCATCAATAAGATCTACTTTTTTACCCTTCCTTATGGGTATTGACTATGGTGAATTTCAATCATCCTCGCTCTCTATGCCTCATTTTATTGCAAACTCTTTCACTCCATAAACATAGGGATGTTAGTGAATTGGGAAAAAAATGGGTATTCGTAAAACTCACATCTTTTGGACCGATGATGGACTATAAATATTGAAAAGTTGACGTATACGAAAATATATATATAAACTTATGCAAGGATGCACTAAAACTCATTCTTGCCCTGCCTCCGGCCCCCTCTCCCCGTCCCGCTAAACCTGTAATATATATATATATATATATATATATATATATATATATATATATATATATATATATATATATATATATATATTATATATATATATATATATATATATATATATATATATATATATAGCAAATAAAATAATTAAGTGAAATACACATTTTTTATACATATTATTTTTGTAAGTTTTTATGTTTGATCCATTTGTTATATAATGAGTTTTCATCTTTCTTGCAAATCCACTTGTGAGGTATTATGATTTTTAAAATTTTTTTTTTTCTTAAAATCATAGAAATTAATTGTTATGGTTACAGATGGTGGCAGATACGGGGATCAACTATTAAGGGGACGGGGATTAAAATTTTTCCCATTAATGGGGATGGAGACAGGGATCAAAATTTTTCCCGCAAGGCAAGGATGGGGATTAAAATATCCCTCGCTAATGGGGGTGGACCGAGGGTGGAGAATACTCCCCCCACCTCTGCCTTCTTCCACTTCCATCCCTACATAAACAAGTTTAGATATCGAGTGGCGGTAAGAGAAAAGGATGCGACATGGGATGCGAGGGGCAGAGGGCACTAAGGGATAAAAGGCGCTGGCTGGCAATGAGGGAGCATAGAGGCAAGTGGCGAGGGAGCATGGGGCACTAGTAGGTGGTGCACAGGCATTGACAGCCTACGAGGGAGCACAGGTGCTGGTAGGCAACAAAGGAGCAAAAACGTTGGTAGGCGGAGGGGGAACACATACATTAACAAGAGATGCATGGACGCCGGGCACGAGAGGCAAGGCACAGGGAGTGTGATGGGAGGCATGGCACCGAGAGTGCTAGTGGAGGTCACGTGGAGGTGATAATGATGGCAACGAAAGGGATTAGAAGCCAATTCTTGGAGCATAAATTGATGTAGTCTCACAAGGCGCAGACGGGCCGCATTCTGAGGACGTGCTTAGAGGTGGCAGAAAAAATGTTATCCAGCGTCCACAACAACGCAAACATCATGAAAAAGTAGTCGTTGATGACGACGGTTCCAAGGTATACTGTCGGGTTGAGATGGGCGAGCCGAAATCTAATGACTTTTCTGGGGGAATTGCCATCTACCTAGAGGTGCTAGAGGTATGTTTGAGATTTCTGATACCTACACCAGTGTTTAGTGTCTTGGCATACTTGTCACTCTTTTTATTAGAGAGGTTAGCTCTTAGGGTACCCAGGGTATTATTGATACCATTATGGAGGGCTTAGCCAAGGTAACCATCTGTACTTTTTTTTTCTGTGGAATTTTATTCCTTGTATCTTTTTATGGCATTTATCTTTTTCCTCTTTTTGTGTGTTGTAGGTGTCCATGACCTCTATCTGCCTTCTTGTGAGGACTAACTAGCATGAACAGATATTGAGAACTCTGATGAGGGAGAGACAGACGTAGTGAGCTATAAAGGAGGAGTTAAGGGTGGCTCACGAGAAAGCTTCACCTCTGACGAACCACTGATGCATAGAGCCCTTGAGGATGGTAGGAAAAGCTCGACACATATTTTTGTTTGGTATGTTATCCAGCTGCATGAGGGATTTATAGGTGTCAAGGTGGTCTAGTCGATCTTGTGAGCCATAAAAAACTTCCACAATTGACATTTTAAACTTTAGGGGAAGGGAATAGTTGACCACATCAGCTACGAATGGCGTGTCAATCTGCCTCACAAGGTACTCGATTGTTTACGGCCATCGCACCTTCATGGCGTTGAAGACGTCACCCAGGTGGTTCTGCACTTCCTTAATTTTTTCATCCCAGTAGTTGGGGATGCCCTCAAAAGGATTGTTATAGTGACTTTCATGGTTCGCATGCTAGTTTTCCCCTCATCTTTTTGGAACGGAGGGTTGCTAGCCTGGGAGGATGGAGTGGGCGCACAACGAGGGGAATCGGGGCACCCTAACGTTAAGGTGGGGCGCCTTGGTACTATAGAGAGGTGCCTTGGAGTGCTGGGTGAGGCGCCTGGAGCGCTGCCCCTTCTTGGTGCTGGGGTACTACTCCTTGAGGGTGCCTCGCGAGCAACAATTGGATAAGTTGTTGGTTTTGGTTTACCAACAATTGCATGGTCTCCAGTAATTGTGGTATAGCGATGGGGTTTGTCGGCAGGGGGCGAGACCTCGTTGTGATGTGGTTAATCATCATCTTCTCTTTGTTGATTCATGGATTTAGTTGTAATAATCATAAGAAGTAGGAATACAACAGGGTGAATACTAAATCATTTCTACAGACGATGCAAAACTGATGATGCACAAAAGTGTTTATGCAAAATCAATCAAGTATGTAATGGATTATGTGATGGGGGTATGTTCAACACAATCAAATATATATATTAGGTGGTTTGGTTTGAGTGACCTACTCTACAGGGAATGACTTCGGTGGACGAATATTTTTATTACTCAAGGTGTGTAGAGTGTTGAGAGGTGAGCGATGCCCCCATGTGTAGACGGGGATTACAATTTATAGGCAAGTAAAGTTTAATAAGGGCTCCAACGTCATTCTTGTAATGGGAAATGAGGTGATTCTGTGAGGCCGACGTCATTCTCATAATGGGCGAGGTGATTCCATAAAGCTGGTGATGTACACCCCAATGACTGCGTTCCACTGATTCCCTTTCCTAAAATTGAGATTCCACATGCGCTAGTAATAGACTAGATTTTTTTTAGGTTGGTGGGCTTGATCCAACTGAAATTATGATTGAGTTTTAGTTGGTTTGCATATGTGATTTGGGCCTGATCTGGGCTAGGCCCATCACTATTGCTTTGGAGCTTGTTTTAATTCATTAAGAGATTTAAGAAGTCTTCAAATTTTCTTCTTTTGTCTCAGAACAAAGAACTATTTGGTTGTTCCATATAAATTTTCTCATTTAACTCACCATTTGGTTGTTTTAACAATATAAGAAAGGAACGGTTTTGGCCCAATACTAAATACATCTTCACCTCGTTTATGGCGACGCCATGATTGAACTGAGTTACCAACACTTAGAGAGAGAGAGAGAGAGAGAGAGAACTATATGAGAAATCAGAATCAAAAGCCATTTAGCCTCTTAATCGATGACACAATTAATGCCATCTTGAGTTCAAGTTGGGGTTTGAATTGTTAAAGAGAAACCAATAAAGCCAGAGAGAGAGAGTGTGTGTGTGCACGCGCGTGTCAACCGAAAGGGGATTGAAAAAGATAAAACCCTTGGAAATATACTGTTGGGGGTGTTTTAGTAAAATCCCACATCTATCGTGTCAGTAGAATTTTAATCCCATACTACCCATGGGTTACACATATCCGGTTCAGAAGGGAAAATAGGCTCCATTTCCTATAATCCAATCCCTCACATAATCCCCACTAATTTGATGAAGCACAACCCTTATAAGTTTATCTCTTTTCGGTCTCTCCCTCCCGACATTTCTCCCCCTCACCATCTCTCAATCTCACCCTTTTGAAAAGGGAACATAAATTAAAATATGAAAATAAATAATTAGCCATCTTAATATAAAAGTGTATAAAATGGCTGCAATACCAATTTTTTTTTTAGAAAAACTACAGTACTATCGTCGGATGGTCAACTTATATATTTTAAATAATAATTTATCGGTCATGACATCTCACGATCAATCATAGCCCGTGAAATATTGTGATATATCATAAATAACTTCAATCAATTATAACTTGACATTTAAAATGTATAAATCAATTAGTTTGTTAAAAATTTATAGTTTTTATAATTGATTACAAGATTTTGTAAATATTTTAATTTTTGATACCGTACTAAAACGATTGTATTAAGTATAAAATCAATAAATTGTTCTAGTTTATAAACTTCAATATATTTATCATAGTTAGGACTCTCCAGTGTCAAACCAGTTAAAAAAGAAAACAGAATAGAATAGAGCAGAAATCGTAGTGATGGAGATTTACAAAGTATTCTTCCTTTCTTTTTGGGTAGAAAAAAAACATTGTGCATGGTCTCCTGCAATTGCAATAATATCCTCGAGATAGAAGGTCGTCCATCGAGCCAACAATTATAACTTGACATTTAAAATGTATAAATCAATTAGTTTGTTAAAAATTTATAGTTTTTATAATTGATTACAATATTTTGTAAATATTTTAATTTTTGATATAGTACCAAAACGATTGTATTAAGTATAAAACCGAAAAAATATTCTAGTGTATAAACTTCAGTATTTTTCTTATAATTTGAACCCTCCAATGCCAAACCAACGGAAAAACAAAAAAAACAGAATAGAACAGAGAATAATGAAGATTTACAGAGTATTTCGCCTTTCTCTTTTTTTTTTTTTTCTGTGGGTGGAAAAAGTACTGTGCATAGTCTCCAGAAATTACAATAATACCGTCGAGACAGAGGGCCGTCCACCGAGCCAACGTGTGCTTTTCCCTTGCCGTAAGGCCCGCGACATCTGATTCAGAAAAATGCAAAACTCTCTCTCTCTCTCTCTTGCAAAGACACATATAGATATTAGAAACAGATGCTCTGTATATAAAGACCAAGCCTGCTAAATCTCCCCATCTATTTCTCTCCTTCGTCTCTCTCTCTCTCTTCATAGAAAGAGAAAGAGACAACACTTGATCAATTATCTCGCACAATCGTTCACACTATTCACAGCCAAAAGGTAGTGGCAAAACGTACAGAAAGAGAGAACAAAAGGGACAATACCCAGAAACGAAGCAGTTGTTTCAATGCCTGCACGTAAGCGTTCATCATCACATAATCTTCTTCACGATGATGGTCAAGAGGAGTCTTCTCATCAGCACTACCGCCGCAAACAATCGCGACGTGAACGAACTCGACAAGCTCAAGACGAACAAGACGACCATGAAGAGCCAGAGGAAAAAGTAGAAGATGGTTACGTTTCTTCGTCTTTGTTCATCAATTATAATTGACATGGTACATGTTTTCGTTCACTGTTTGACGATCGGTTTTGTGTGTGTGATGTGATGTTTGTTTCAGATTCAGATGGAAGTGGTTCTGATCCTGAAGACTTAACTGAGTACATACTCTCTCTTTCTTCCTCTGTATGTAGATATCTGTATATATCTGGATTCTGGTCTCTTGTCCGGTTCTTGTTTTGAATGTCTATTCTTTACATGTCTCAGCTATTTGTGCTTTATTTTCTCTCCCTTGTTTTAATGTATCTATTTTGATTGTTGTTGCTTGAATTTGAGTTTGATTTTGTCAGTCTGAGGGCGGTGATGTGTGTTTATGGACTATCACTGTAATTCATGTTAGATATCGCGGGTTTGCCTTTGTTGGTCGTTGGATTCATTTCTTTGAATTGCTGTAACGGGCTTGGGATTGAGTTTGATTTTTGGGCAACATTTTTGATGCATTTGCTCTGCTTGATTTATCTGGTAAGAAGTTTTTGCATGTGGCGTTTTGACGAGTATCATCATTTTTTGACTCAGATGTAGCTGGTTTTTGGGTGTTATGGTGTATCCATTTTGATAACTGCATTTGTTTGGAAGTAATTTCATTTTTACCTCATTTTGATGCACTCGCTTTACTTGATTTAATGCATAAGAAGTTTTTGCATGTAGAAATTTGGAACAGATTAATGCTTATAAAGTTCGTCCATCCATTTTCATGCGTTATGGATCTAGAAATGATCCAATTTTCGATGCCTTTTCTCTGCTTGATTTAATGCGTAAGAAGTTGTTGCACGGTTCGTTTTGGAGGGCTTTGCCAATGCTTGACTCAGCTGTAGCTAGTTTTTGGTGTATATACTGTGGTGAATGTTTTCGTTCAGGCAAGTTGTTGGAAGTAACCTGATTTTGGCGTCAATTTCAATGCATTCAGTCTGCTTGATGTGATGCTTAAGAAGTTGTTGCGTGTTGCACTGGTACCAATTAATCTTAGAAAGAACATTCTGCCATTTTCATGCCATTATGGTTTGAAACTATTATTGGGAATATGTCATTAACATTTTTAAAAGATTCAATTTTTATGATTTTATTTTCCATATTTGGATCTTATTTGGATTATGGTCATCTTATGAAAGTTGTCTTATTATGTGAGTTGGCAGTTTGACTAGTATGCTGCTGTTCATGACCAATCTGCCACCCTTTGAAGTCAAAATGCTGCCATGCAGTGTATTGGCTTGACTAGCAGAATTGGATTATGTGATTTTTTGAGTTTCATAGATGCATGACTATACTTATGTGCACTTGCAGCTATTTATCTCCACCGGTGTTGGTGCACGCTTGCTTGCTAAACATGTGTGTATGCATGTATGTGTTTAGTCTTCATATATTATGTTCTGCTTGATTTAAATAGTTCTGCTTTATTGGTCCACAACTTTTGCAGTCTAGGTCAGTTGTCCTCTCTGCACAGTATTGCTCTAGATCAACTGTCTCCACTTTGGTAGTTGTTAGCACTAGATTATCAGATGAAGTTCTGACCATTTGTCAGAGAAAAAAGAACGAACAGAACTCGTATTGCAGCTATTGATCTCCATCTGTGTTGGTGCACACCTGCTTGCATGCTAAAGTTTTGTGTATGCATGTGTGTGTTTAGCCTTCATATTTTTGTCGTGCTTGATTTGAATATTTCTGCTTTATTGGTCCACTACTTTTGTAATCTATGTCAGTTATCCTCTCTGCAAAGTATGGCTCTAGATCAATTGTCTCCACTTTGGTAGTTGTTGGCACTAGATTATGCTAACTTACGAGCGCTTGTGGCGTTAATGTGCTAAGCAACTACTGGAACACCTTTCTTCTATAGGAACCACTGGAACACTTGACTTCCTTATTGCTGGTTCTACTCTGTTCTGAACTGCAGGATGGTCTTTTGGGTGGTTTGCTTTTATATGTTTTATGACTAGGCTAGATTTATGCATAAAAGGCCTTTGCATAAATTTCCAAAGCTGGCTACTTAACTTCATTAAAAGACAACCCTTAGTAGTTGGGACAAGGTTTATTATCTCGATCTGATTTGGTTTGGGTTCACATTTTTCAAGTTGTCAATGGTGTGAATTTTAAAAGTTTTCAATTTTTTGGGAAGTTTTGGGTTTTGTACATTATGCATGTAGACAGCTTTGACGGTTGCCCTGGTCTGTCTGTTTGTGATCAAACGAGTTTATACCTGCCTGCCTGAAATGTTGATAAGCATTGTGGGTCATACAAGAATAATCCCACAATAATTAAATTATTTATTTATTTTTTTTATACACAAACCACACACAATTTTTATGTATGTGTAGGTTAAGGTCTTCCAAACTCTCTGAAAATCTGTAATATCTTTCTTATTTCCTGAGAAGTAATTTTAAGTTTGTCACTGGAGAAAGGATCTCAAGTACTTTGCTGATGCTTTACTCTGCAAATGAAAACATTTTACAAAATATTTTAAACTCCGGTGTGGTGTGAAGGCATTCAATCCAGAACTTCTTTTAGTGGCTAACCAGCCTGTCCAAAGAGATTAAGCCAATATTTTATTTTTCAGATCGTTGTTGTACTTGTTATGCTTCGTTGACTTTATTCCTTGGTTGGCAGTAACTTTATTGCTGTTTTATTGAAGAGCAAACTTTGTGCCTTGGCATGCACTTGCATGTATGTCTATTGAATGTATTAGATAATATTACTTTTCGCTGACTTTTTGCTGATTTGCTTTCCGAAAAAAACTTTTTGTTGCCTTGTGAATGTAAATGTTAGAATCACCAAATTTATCCCTTGTTTAGTGTTTGTTATAGCATCTGTAGAATAAACTCTCATTCTCCTTCACTCTATTTCCTAACCTTTTCTTTCTCTTCTCTCTTTTCTTACCTCTTCTCCACTCTAAAACCTTGATTTAAATTTTAACTTGATATTAGAGCAATTTATCTAAAACTTTGAAGCCACTAGAATACTGGGGGAGGCTTTAGGAATCTGCTGGGCTGTTGACGTCATTGCCGAAATGATGATGTTGTCACAGGAGTTGATCAAAACTGGTATGGCTCGGTTTTTCCTCTTGAGTATGGTGGTGATTTTTTTAAATTTTTTTGAAACCATCTGAGATACTTTTCTAATTTTTGAATGTTTTTCAGAATTTTTGGGTCATATTTTGCGATCCCTTGTTTAGTTGAGATTGGGACTATTGCCTACTCTAATGCAACCAGTGGCTACTAGCCAGAACTTGTAGGAACTCGGGGGGAGTTCTATGCATAGCCCAGTGTGCTTTGGGTTTTTTTGGACATCAGCAGGCCTTTTTTTGTTGGCTTACAAGCTCTGGTGGCCCCCTCCCACTGTTTTTGAGGCTGTGGTTGAGTTTTGTGTAGAGCCCAATGCTTGGTTGCGGAATTTGTTGGCCAGCAGAGGATTTCAGTGACCTTCTGTGGACTCCAGCAATCCTGTTTCGGCAATCTTTGTGTTGGACTGTGGATTTCAGTGACTCCCTATGTCTTCGTTATGCTAGGTAGTCATCGATCAGTCCTTTTTTGGTGCTGGGCAGTAACCTGTTGGCCCTTCAGGTTTGAGTTCTTTTTTGGTGTTGTTGTTTGCCTTTCCAACCGCCATTTTGGTCTTTTTTCATGTTGGGTTAATCCTCAAAATTACAAAGAAGCCATGTCTGGAGTTAGTGTTGAATCTACCGACAATGAGAAAGGTGTGGTGAGTCGTGTAGGGACTCTTGGATGCAACCCTTCTCCCTAGATCAGTCCAGTAAAATTAGATGGAGGTAACTACTTGGCGTGGTCTCAATCGTGCCTGTTATCAATGCTGACAAGTAGGCTAAATTGATGCTTGGCAAGAACAAGTAAGAAACCCAAATCTGAACATGATGTTAACTAGTAGATCTCTGAGAACTCGTTGGAGAAGACATGATTACTCAACTCAATACAACCTTATATTAACTATGGTTTTCTATTTCTTCAGATAGCATGTGAGATTTGGTCAGCAGTGGCTTAGACATATTCACAAGTTAGGAATGATGTTCAGATTTAAGAGCTTTGAAAGAAGATTCATGAAACCAAACAGAAGGATATAAATCTTGCAGAGTATTACGCAGGATTGAGAAGTATGTGGCAGGAGTTGGATTATTACCAGGATTTTTAAGTAGATTGTGTTAGAGATAGTGCTAAGTTTCAAAGGTTGATAGAAAGAGAACGAGTATATGATTTTCTTGCAGGTCTCAAATGGAGTATGATTAGATTTGTATATAAGTTTTTGGTAAAGATCTTTTTCCTTTCTTGAGAGAAGTTTATTCATATGTGAAGCAAGAGGAGAGTAGGAGTGCCATGCTTAATACTCCTACTCATGATAGGTCTGTTCTAGCAACTGTATCATAGAGAGAGACTAGCCTCGTGGTGATGGTAAACAATGGGGGCATGGAAAATGATCTATTAAAATGTGACTACTGTGGAAAGACGAGGCACACTAAAGGCCCTTGTTGGAAGCCACATTGTCGTCTTTCTAGGGGTGTGGTGGTAAAGGGCTGCTCCTGTGCACTCTTGTGCCCATATGACTGAGATTGCAGATCTTATCCCTAGTGGTGCATCTCTATCTACCGGTACTTACCTTATGGAACATGGGATTCTTTGCCAATCTAGTTGTGTGGATACATCTGAGTAGAATGGTGTAGCAGAGAAGAAGAATCAACATCTCCTTGAAGTGCACGTTCCTTGATATTCACTATGGGTGTACCTCTGTTCTTCTAGGGAGATGCAATACTCATTGCTACATGTCTCATCAATCATATGCCTTCAAGAGTTCTTGATTTTGCTACTCCTATAGGGTTGCTTGAAGGGTGAGTGTCTCTTTACTCTATTCCTCCAAACGTGTCTGGTTATGTGTGTTTTGTGCATAATTATCGAAAGACCAGGGAAAGTTGGATCCAAAGGCGTTGCGTTGTGTCTTTATTGGCTACCCTGCTATCCAAAAGTAATATAAATGTTATCATCCTCAGTCTAGGAAGGTGTATGTTAGTATGGATGTCAAATCCATATTTCTCAATTTCTCTGCCACCTCTTTAAGGGGAAGAGGTGGTAGAGAATTGATTCTTTCTCTTACCCCCTAATTAGGATTAGGGAGAAAAATCTAGCCAAGGGGAGCCTCAAGGAGAAGCATCAGTTTAAGGGGAGCATTATACGTGTGGAAGATTGGATTGGGAGGATTTGTGATACTATACTCGATGACAAGTTGAAAAGATCAACACCCATGAGCCACCAAGTCAGTCATCATCTCTAGGCTCAATTTATGAGATCTCTTCGCCTTTATTCGATATCAGTCTCCTTGTAGTAATCTGGTTGATGATAGTTCTTTACCTATTGTTATTCGAAAACGAGTTCGGACTTGTATCCAACATCATATTTTTCAATTTATTTCTTCTTCCTCCAATGATGTTTTTGTTTCATCTTTGTCTTCTATATCTCTTCTCTAGAGTTAGCGTGAAGCCCTTGCAAAACCCAAGTGAAAAGCAACCATGGTAGAAGAAATGAGAGTTTTTGAAAAGAATGAAATCTGGGAGCTTATGTCACTTCCAGTTGGGAAAAAATCAGTAGGCTGTTAGTGGATATTTATTATCAAACAGAATGCAGATGGTGCATTGGATGGCTAGGAGCAAAGTTATCAAATCGTGTATCGGAAGGCGTATCGTAAGATACAAATATTGTATCGTATCGTGTATCGTATCGTAAGATACGATGCAATTTTAAATAAATAATAAAAAAATATATATACCTTTGAAAAAAAGTCATACACTCATAAAAAATATAGCATTTCATTAATACTCCACCAACTATTCAAGTTATCAACATAATCCACTACTATTATAATGCAAAGTTCACAACCATAGTTCACTAATTCAAACTTTAAACACCAAAGAGACTTCTAATCCAAATTTCTAACATCCATTTTGAACTCAATCTTCAATTTCAATTGAAAATGCATCATCATCATCATCATTGTGATCGGATGCCAACAAGTCTTCACTTCCTTTATCATCTTCAACTTCTTGTATTTGTTCATCCTCATCCTCATCCTCATCCTCATCTTCAAGTTGAACTATTTGCTTTCCTTTTTTCTTGTATAAAGTAAGATTTCTAGGCCCTACAAAGCAACCAATACAAAATATAAAAAAAATAAAATTCAAAGTAATGGAGAAGAAGAAAAAACAACCACTACATTTTAATTACCTCTCTTTCTCTTTTTGCTAGTCCCTTCTTGAACCTCAAAACATTCACCAACATTCATCCAAGTAGTGTCCTCAGGAAGGAGTGCATCTTCTTTTTCAGTGATCCACTCATCATCAGATTCCATATCTGAGAGAGAAATAGGATCATAGGAATCACCCTCTAGTATTCTCTTTTGGTGTCTTGCCTCCAATCGAAGATTGTACTTCACAAACACAAGTGCACTTAATCTTTGTTGCTCTAATCGATTTCTCCTCTTAGAGTGCACCTGGTCAAATGTACTCCAATTCCTCTCACATCCAGTGGCACTACAAGTCAAGCTAAGGACGCGGATAGCAAGTTGTTGCAA